AGACAACGGCGAAGTAGTAAGTCGTGTATTGACTTCTACCATGGTGTAGTAGTAGACCGTTTCAAACACGGAGACGGCGAGAACGTGTTTAAAATTAAAAGAAGGGGGAAAGGCTGCCACAACGTTGTCAGGAAGAAAGAAAAAAAAACAAACCCGTATCAACCTATCCCTGGGTGGAGAAAAAAAAAAAAAAAAAGGCGCCTGCCAAAGGGACCTTGGCTTTCGCCCTGGAATCCCGACGCCTCTTTTTCCATGTCCAAAAGAGGAGACCAAGAGGACGCAGGGATCTTTCCCGCCCCATGATTCGAGGGGAAAAAAAGGGCAAAAGCTTGCCGAGACGAAGAGGCACCAAGGGAAAAAAAACCCTTCCCCCCCGGTCCAAGGCCTTCTTCCTCCGTCACCCGCGGCGGCGCCTCCTTGTTGTTTGAACTCGAAACGGAAATGAGACTCGCGCCGCGCGGAGCAGAAACGGAAACAAAACACAAGAAGCGAGGAGGCCACGAGACCCCCCTTCCCGCCCGGATACAGCGCGAGGCGCTTTCCTCTTCCCCCTCCCGCTCGCACTCTCGTTCCAGCCGCGCGCCCCGGAATTCCCGCTTGAAGACTCACCAGCCGCCGCCGCCGCCGCCGCCTCAGTCTCCGTCACAAAAAAAAAAAAAAAAAAACCAATCCAGCCCCACTGCGAGTGGAGCAGCGCCGCTGTTTTCTCTTTTCCGCCGTGGCAGCTACGTCGATTAAACGAAGGAGCTCCTATTTTCCCCCTGACAGTCAAGGCGGGTGGGGGGGGGAAACCCTTAGCGGACTCCAACTCTGGCGGTCGGTCGGTCGGCTAGGCCTGCGTGCGGGGCCCTGGCGGGGGAAAAGCGCAGATACACGATGCCCCCCCCTCTCTCCCGCGCGCCAGGGCAAAAACTACGACTCCCGGCACCCCTTGCGAGCCCCCGCCTGGGCGGCTTATAGTAAAATTCAAAGCATTTTCACAAGCGCCGCTTTTAAGTCGGAAGTGAATTTCTTCCGTTTCCGGTAGGCATACGGCCCGTCGGTTAAAGAGTTTTTATTGACCTTTCCTGGTTAGAAAAAAGCCGGAAAGCAATTTCGGGTAGGAGCTACAACAGAGAGAAGGTGAAGGTGAGCCGTGTTTAGATAGCAAGTGACCGGGAACGGAAGGGGAGGGGGGGGGTCAAAAAGCAAAATTCCCGAAACCCATTGCGACTTTCGGCGTCTGGGCGGGGCCGTTTGACTGCAGGCTCCGGGAAGGTGACCGATCGCGGTGCTCCTTTGAGGAGAGGAGACGGGTTAAAAAGAAGGCTTTGAAAGAGCAGCCGCCTCTGAAGGATTTCGGCTTGAGGTAGTTTAATCCCATTTCTCCTTTTTCGGTCACGTTGTTCAGAATCGTCTCTCCCCATTTTCTTCGATATTCTGGCTTCTATGTAAGTCCACGAGTCATAAAAGAGCCAAGGTTGACTACCCCTGATGTAGTCCTTAGAACAGTGGTTCTCAAACTTTTTAATGCCGCGACCCCAACCGGTCGTAAGTCGAGGACTAAACAGGTCATAAGTCGAGGGCTAAACCGGTCGTAAGTCGAGGACTTTCCCTGCCCAGGAGCGCCGTGCATG